TATTAACGCGTCCATCACCAGGGCGAATAAGAACGGACTGAGCGCAGAACCTTGGTGTAACCCTATTACAATAGGAAAATGCTCAGAGTCGCCTCCTACTGTCCTAACCCGAGTCTTAACCCCATCATACATGTCCTTAATCGCCATAATGTAGGGAACCGACACACCTTTTGCCTCCGAGCATCTCCAGAATCTCCTTATCCCAAAATCAGAATGCTAAAAGAAAAAGAAATAATCAAGTTATACTCAAGTTTTTACCGCCAAAAGACACTGAACTTCCAATAGGTTGAGCAAATACTGATGATGCCGATGATGAAGCTGATGAGGTTGCTCCAAATGCTCTATTTCCAAACAGATTGCTACTACTAAATGACGGACTTGAAGCTGTGAGAAGAAAAGTATGTGAGAGAGAACTATCAGTCACTGCAATTATATAACCAATTTGTTCTGGAGAGAATGTAATCAACCAGAAAAAGTAATCGAAGCACGAAACATACAGTAGAAGAAAACTATGCAAAACAGAAGAAAGCATGCTAGGTACATATTGTGATTTACAAATTACATGCATGCATGCTGAAGCAGAATTAAAATCCACAAAATATGGGTTAGACATCTATCATTAATGTGATGATCACTTGTAAATTTTTAGCATAACATTAAACGTCCAACAATTGTACAATCATGAGAAGCTTTTATGTATTGTGAGTTTGACAAAGAATATTCATCCAGTATCCTCGCTCTCTCTTCCTCTTTCCTATTTTGTTAGTTTAGAGAGTAATACCAAGATTCTTTCTATAAATTAAATTTGGGTAGCATGAATATTCAGCTCGCTTGAAAACACAAATTTCTGAAACTTAAAGGTGTTATCAAGGAGTTTCAAAAAAGTTCAAAAACGTCACTCCTGTATTTCTCTTATGTTAAAGGGGATTCAAAATTTTATATATATGTATTGATAATTTTACTTTTATCCTATTTACGCAGTATAAGATTGAATCCACTTTGTCGTATATGGCTCCTCTACTGCATTCAAGATCCACACATAAATTTAAACCCAAAAAAGAATTTTAGAAAACAACATTCTCTTTTTAAATTTTGAAGGATGCATGAAAAACAGAGAATACCCAAAGATAGAGGAGGATAAAAGCAAGTAATGTAAGTGTAGAAAGAACTCATTCGTGAGGCGAGCATTTTACTTAGGACGAGGCTAGCGGTAAGTCCCGAGACATGGGGCTTAAGTCTCACATATATATATATATGAATAAGATATCATAATACGTGAATTACCTACAACATCCTAAAAAGCTAATATCAAAAGTGAAAAAACATTCTTTAGGAGAGGAAATCTCTCATATATATATATATATATATATCATAAGAAGTAAATAAATCATGAAACATTTTTTAATACTATAATTTCAAACTTTCTCTTCAAAAAACATTCTTTTCATCATTTGCGAGAGAACAAATTTTCAGATAAATTAAAAAAATGACTATTAGTCTTATAGAAATAACTAACAATTTCATAATGCAACTCTAGAATTGTTTGCTTTCAACAATTTAAAATTTTGACAAACACAGCCATACTATAAGTCACAACTAAAAGCGTAATGTGTGAATCAGTTCCTTATAGGTAGTTAACTCGGTAACACTTAACTATTATATTAACAAGTTCTGTACCTCGTGAACAAGAGAAGAACAATATTGAGAAAAATAAGATTCAAAGAGAAATAAGGATGATTGAATAATGAAGACCTAGCAAAAGTTAATACCTAAAGATTGAAAGGTCCATCAGAATCGACTACTATCATGTCGTTCTTAGTGGATAATGTGCGATATTAGAAATTCAAATTCTAATTTTCAGAGTTTATAATCTCATAGCCATCTCTTTTAACATAACCTTACAGGGCTAATTACAGACAATAGCATAGACAACTGTTGGACGAACCCCATGCATTGGGCGTTGGGTGCGTAGAGAAATTAATCGCACAAACTTTCAAATTAAAACCAAACAAGCAAGAACCACGACAGTAATTACACGAAAAAGAACACTGCAAGTCTCAGTTATCAAGAATGAATGACAATAGAGAATAAATACATTAAGAGGAGGACAAATTAAAAAGAAGAATTTTACTTACATGGGGCGGAAAACAACGACATTATCTATGATCTCTGGTATATTCTTTCACTAGTGGAATGTATGCGTGGGAATGAAGAAACATTGGTCGTATATATATATTGAGAAGACAGAAGTTGAGAGGTTGCATATTCTGTACGCAGCCCAGTAAGCTTGTTTAGCTTATTCTTAAAGCTAACTCGGTTGCCGCTTTAACTTTCCGGTTTTTTTCTCTTCTCGGTTTTTGCCTTTTCTCTTTTCCCGCTTTTTTCTTTTCTTTGGTTTGTCAAATTATACCCTCTTTTTCTATTTAAATTTTAAACCAATAAAAAAAAAAGGAAACCCCTTATCATTTTTATTGCAAGATATGTAAACCTATTTGCTCCCTTTGTTTACACAAAGTTATTGAAAACTTTATTTTATCTTTGTTTTAAAAAAATCATTTTTTTTCACCCAACCACTATTAGAGAGAATTGTTTTTTTTAAAAGGAAGCACCTCTAGGAATAGTTTGTCATATTCTTGAAGAAGATGGAAAAAATTCTTCGGACTAGTTTGTTTGATAAGAAAAAATTACGTTTTTTATAAATTTGGAAGAACAAAAAATTCAACTCTTTTGCGAAGTTAAAAACTCCTAAACAAGTAGTTGAATTGATTCTCGAACACCTTTTATGCTCATGTTATGTCGAGGTAGTACAAAAAAAATAGTAAAAACTGATCTAATTTATCTTTAGTCGATGAGTTAACCACATACCGAAACACGAAAAAAATTATTAGCTTATCAAATTATCTATTGATCTAAAAAATATTCAGCGGAGGATAGAACAAACTATCTATTTTACATCGATTTTTTTGATAAAACAAACGCAGTAATTTAGTTTCAAAAGTTGAGAAAAAGTTTTGCAAAAAACTTTCAATCAACTTTCCAACCAAATCGAAGAGATTTCTCATTTCCCGGTGCTGACTTGAATTGCAGTTGAAGGGAAGCCAACAAGTTTGTTCAAGAGATTTACTGATTGTTTTGTTTTCTGTGAATTTGTTCTATTTTCTCGTTCAAGCACGTTTTATTAGATTTTTATTTTTGAAAATTAAATAGAAGAGTTAAATCCCAAAATAAATTCCTTCACTATAGCTTCAAAATCTTTTCCCCCAAAACCAAATCCAAACACTCAGAAAAAAAAATATCAAAAGGTTATAAAACCAGTTTTTTCGAAATTATATTCAAATAGATATACTCATATGATTCATTGTTATGTAACATTCTTTTTTTTTTAACCAGTTTAAAATGAAAAATACCTATTTATATTCAAAATGAATAACCATTTAGTATAAACTTTCAATTTTACTCTTAATGTCATAATTATATAGCAATATAAAATTTCACGAATTGTTTAAGGCCATATATTTCAAAAGTCATTTTTTTTTAAGATATTGTGCTCAATCAATCACTTTCACAAGAAATAAAATGGAGGGATATCTATCCATTAGTAAATAAATGAAGTACAAATGAAATTATAACACAATTATACTGCAAAATGGTAAAATATACATTATTGGGAATAGTAAATGATCAGAACCAGGCCATTGAACAAAATGAGCAAATTGTATAATGAATCAGTTGGAGGACCACCTTACAATTGAAGTGATAGACCTTTAGTAGAATATTACCAAATCCAAAACTCTGTTGACTGTACTATAGCAAAAGCTGTAAACTAATCTAGAAGTGTGAGACCCTAAATTTCCACTGCCCTTGCACTGGATCATAAGAAACAAATTCTGCACCTTGCTCTACTGCTTTCTTAACAAGCATATCTCTGTACTTGTTAACCACTGGTCCATCTGTGTACTCCTTCCCGTTCGATTTGTTGATGCATTTGACATTAAGGAGAGTTATCTCAGCTGGCTTGTTGAGGCCTTGTCCAACTGAGGGTTTCTTGCTCTCGTCCATATTGATGATCACCTCACGACACTTAAAATGGACAGCAGAATCAAGATCAAGATTCCGGACATCTGTTTCTCCCAAGAACGTGATGCTTCCAAAGCCATATCTTCCGACCACAAAGTTCTTCACGTGGCTACAGAAACCAGGATCTTCCTTCTCCTTTGACATTAATTCCTGGATAGTAGGAACTGTGTAGTAATCAGAGCGTTGAAGCTCGGGCATTATGGCATCAATATCCTTATAATCATGCTTGCTATCCTTTAATGCTTCAGCTGAAACTTGGTGTCCAGATTTATCATGATGCATCTTCTCTTCAGGCGCTAAGTTAGGCTTGTCATTAACTTTGACTCCATCGTGCATCCCTACATTTTCACAGAAAGAGAATTTAGAAGGTGTTAAGACGGACTATGTATTAACTCTTTCCCCCTTTTAAGATTGCATTGATGTCTACAGACAGAGATAAACTAGTTACTTGCTATTCAGCTCTATCTTTTTCTCCATCTCTTTGTAGCACTACTGCTTTATCATTGAAGCATCAGAAGACTCATTCAATAGTTCTCACAAGATTAAGAAAAAACCCAAAGATTGTCCAGACTTCAAGCAGATAAATATAGCTAACTGGAACTGCACCTAGCTACAGAGAACGGATGATGTTACTGCCTGTCTGCTTGAAATTTGTATATAAACGATTCACTTTTTCTCTTTCTTTTTCATGTAAATTACGTCTACACACATGGCAACTCTAATAGCGAGTCAACTTCTTTATATATCTTAGATATACTCAAATAGATAACAAATCATAGTGTCCCACATATCATTTAAAGAATCATTAATTTGTGAAGTTATTTGGTGTTAATTTGAACTATTAGAGATTCCAAGGTTTGAACTTATGGAAAGAGGTAATCTTAATGGAGCAGCCATAAAATGGTAGATAGCAAGTAATCAACTAACATTACACGTGTTGTCTCGTTTCGTGACTATAATTGATATATGCATCTCCAGCTAAACCAATAGTTTTGAAGCTAAATGTCTCAATCTAATAGCCTCTTGGTGAAAAACAGATTTTGATTTTAGTGTAGAACATGTTTTGGATTTAATCAGCTCCTATATATACATTTGATAAAAGAGGTGAAAGGAAGGCATGAAATAGACAAATAGTACATTAAAAAAGAAAGCTTACCGTCCGCAGATGTATGCTTCAGTTGAGACAATATACATGAATCAGACCCCATAGGAAATTCTCTAGCGGTAGGATGAACCCAATCCCTTGGATTTTCCCTTGAAATGATCACAACTTCTTTCCTTACTATGCCAGAAGCATTTTCTTTACCCATAAAAAAGGGAACCTGCATAAACAGAAATTATAGTCCTGTTAGATTTTCCCGTTTTTTACTTTGAGCTGATAATTGAATGGACGTTGTCTTATACTATATATTTTTTCACCCAGACCAGATGAATACCAATACTTGCATTTTGCATATGATCTTTGCTTTTTTCCTTACACAAGCATCTATTATTGCACTCTAGATTTCTTTCCAGAAAAACAATACTACTTCTCACCTTTGGTTTATCACTTGCAGGATTGTATTTTTGAGGTGGCAACCTATGCCGACTTAGAGATGAATGTCGAATTATCAACGAGGATCTTCGTCTGACCAGAGCAGTTTTGTCAGAAACCTGTAATCGCAACCAAAGAGAATTGTTCATAAGAACCTACAACCTCTATTTTCACCTTAAACAGACAATATGACTTCAAAAAAAAAATGGCTATAAACCCAAAATAAAGTTGATGGTTTGGTTTGAACTTGGCCACCTATATTGATGTCTATGCTTATTGGAGAAATACTAAAAGTGAAAACTCTTATTGCCAAGATGCATAGAATGAACGGCATACAAGGATTTGTAATGAGGCATACTAGTACACCATGTAACTGCTATTGAGAAGTATGATGCTTTGTTTGAGACCAATGAACACGTCCAGAGGCATAGGTTAATAAAACTTACAGGTAAGCTTGATATTCCATACTGTACGGATGTTGCTGAATCTGGGCGTCCAGCGAATACCTGGACTTCAGGTTTTGTTTCAGAAGGAACCATAGATGGCTGCAACCCTGTGATGCTTGGAGAGTAAGACCTGAAAACATGTTAAAGTATTGAATAAAAGGATCAGGCTAAGACAACAACTGTAGAGTACTTCTTACTAAAGCAGCAGAAATCAAAATAATGATCGGTAATTCTGAAAGCCAAAAGTAGGCATTTTTAACAAGAGAAGTACAAAACAAAAGGATAGCTAAGTTTGATTACTCACTGTTGCACATTGATACCCGGATGACCAACTCCTTGTCCATTTTCTGAAAGAAACAGGAGCCAGGGGGTGATTAGTTTACATGGATTGTTAATCCAACATATTATCAATGTGAAAAAACATTGTGAAGTAATTAGTACCTGTCAATGGCTGAGAAGAGATGGCCGGTGAAATTGTTGCTTCACTATTAGGAGTCTTTTCTGGCTGCAGAGGAACAAAGAACAGTGGATGCAAATCAACTTAAATGTACAACACCAGAAAGAATTATTCCACTACCCACAACAGAAGTGTCCAAACTTTTTTTTTCCTCTCCTTTTCTCCACGAGACCACAATGTGGGATATAATTTATTTATAACAGAAAGCAAATGCCACAGGTATATAAATGAGATCTAATTCCATACAGGTTGAGAATCACTTACAGTAATTTGACTAGGAGCAAGTGGAACGAATGTGGGAAACAAAGAGGATGGTGTGCTTGGAACATTAAAAAGGCTTGGTAAAGTAGGCTGCAACTGCCAGGATGATTGAGCTGGTGCTGTAGTCGAGACAGGAGTTGGAAGAAGGGATGGAGGTGATACAGAAGGTAAGGTGGGCAAGTTAAAAGTAGAGAAAGAGCGATTCTGATCAAAATGATGGGCTCGGGAAGGTGAGACCAAACATGGAGAAGCAGTAGACAGTGGAGACGATAGAGCAGAAGACGTTGATAAAGCCCATGGATTACTTGACGGAGAAAAGATGGAGGTAGTGGAAGAAGTAGAAGCTGCTTTTAAAGATGCAAAAGGGCTTGAATTGGTCCATGGAGAAGAAGAAACATCTGAGTTTAAGAATGATGTTTTGGGGGGAAATATATGGGAAACAGTTGACTGCTGTGACTTTGGAAATAATGGGGTAGATGAAGTTGTGATAGAATTTTCATTTGGTAGTGAGTCAATCCCTGGTCTTTTCACGGCAAATGGATTTGGACAATGAGAATGAAAAGGTTGATTAACAGTGGATGGGTTAAATACTGGTGATGTGAAAGGCCTGGATTTGTCAATGACACCAAATTTAGATGTGCCTGAATCACCAAATATAGAAGCACATGTCGGACCTGCAAATTCACACATGAAATATATACCTATAAAATAAGGTAGATTTGCTTGTTATTTAAAGATAAATAAAATAAGTTAAGCGTACCTTTATCACCTAACTGATAGTCCTCAAACCTCAACTCTTCGTGGCTTTTATCTTCATAAGCCTGCATGCCACTAATGGATTGAATTTTTTCCTTGCTCTCTTTCTCTTTAGTTGCAGTGTATGATGCTATTCTACTTCCTTTCTGATTAATACCGAATGCTGACTTTCCAAAATCAGAGCTCTTGAGCAATGGTGTAGTAACTACTTTTCCTGGATTGCAAATTTGATCAAGAAATCGATAAATATTTAATAAAAATTCAACATAGACTTCAGAGCTATATGGAGCATGTAGGAATGCACATTGAATGGTATCTTATCTTATATCAAAACAAAATTCTCCCCCCAAATGTTGAATAATCTGCTAGTACATGAGAAATACTTATAATGTAAACCTTTGCTCACCTGACGTGGATACTGCTGGCTGGCCGAAGGAGTAGGAACCAAATATTGAGGAGTCTGAAACACTGACATCTCTGGACCACAACAGAGGTTTATAGGCCACACTATTACCTTCATATTTCTTTCCAAATGTTGGTAAAGTGGACGACGAGCCCAGAGATTTGTCTTGTGTTTGTAAAGTTGTAGCATTGTTTGTTGCATTAAAGGCTGTGGTTCCTGCAGTACCAGAAGCAGACTGAATTGATTTCTCTAATCACTGAAGACAACTACAAGCATCAGTAGCTAGACGCACGAGATTGGTTGAATAAGTTCTCCCGAAATAAAAACTCGATTATTTCTTTTCTTTTTTGCACAGTGATTTTGGAATAGGCGATTGATTTCTCAACTTGAATATAGAGGACCAGATAGATAGATTATAAATGTTTTAAAGCTTTGTGCAATCTTTCCTAGTCTAATTAGTTCCTTCTTAAAAATTTGTCAAGCATCAATTGTAACACTAATAGACTATTCATTCATCTTCTGTGGATTTAACTGCTATCACAATATATACATAGTCATCGGCGAATTTAGAGTCTAAAGTCAACGCTTTCAGAATGTAATCTTATTATACGCGCCTGTTTAAATGTTTTTTGCATATGTATACATAGTTTGAACAAAAAAATAATGGGTTGAACCCGCATAACCCGTTCTATATCCGCCTCTGATTACATAGCATGATTGTCTTCTTCCTGTATGTTTTATGCTTGGACTACTTTTTCTCCTGCAGGTTGATTGTGATATTTGTAGAACAACTTCCTTAGTTACATAATTAACATAGTGATCAATTGTTTTCTCTCTTTTGACAGCTTCAAGACCGTCCTTTAGCAGCATCAATGTTTTTGGTTCTATATCTGGATTTCAACAGATTAGGAACTCTAATAGTAATCCTTCAGTGCCACACTGGTTTGGAAGTAGTGGAGCATTTGGAGCAACCTCATCACCATCAGTACTTTCTCCCTTTGGAAGTTCAACGTCTTTTGGTGGTAAAAACTTTAATCTAACTCGATTATTTATGCATAATGATTTTGGAATAGGCGATTGATTTCTCCAAGAAATTAAAATCCCACGATCTGTTTATTACTATGACATTTTTCAGCTTGCATGATCATATCCAATCCAAAAAGATTAGGTTCTGCAATTGTCTCAGAAAAAGTCACTTGTCACCATATAATCAATACGTTTTTTTCTTCTTCTTTGTGAAACTTTTTGCAGTTAAATTGCGTCTCTAGCTTGATTATGGTGCATTATTATGTCTTAGGGCAGCCTGGTGCACAAAGCATCAGGGTCCGGGGAAGGGCCGCACCCCAAGGGAGTGTGATGTAGGCAGCCTACCCTGATGCAAGCATTAGTGACTGATTCTACGGCTCGAACCCGTGACCTATAAGTCACACGGAAACAACTTGATCGTTGCTTCAAGGCTCCCCTTTATATTATTATGTCTTATCAACTGAATTTTCCATAGAACACTCCCCCATCTCTGTCCAAATGTATACACTCAGAAGAAAGACCACTTATTCTATTTAATTTGGATGTTGTTGCATGCGAATGAACTAAAGGCACCCTTTGACTATGCTTTTCCATGGTTTATGTACTAAATGTTATAACATAATATTCTCTGTCGCCTATGGCGCAGGTGAGGATTGGTACAGATGCTATACTTAATACTGCCGATTTCATGAAAGCAGAGTTACCATATCTTCTTTGACAGAGCAGTGAGGTGGTTTGTGGAATTGGTTGAAAAAATAAAATTGCTCCTTGGGAAAGGTAGCTATGCAATGAAGTGGCATAGAGCTCTACTCTTTTTCCAAATGTTAGTAATAACTGCAATATCTCAGTATGGTGGGTAATGTTCTTGCTTACTACGTTGAGGTTCCAAAAGAAGAAGCAAGTGCTGATGCTGATGATGTTGTTCCAAATGGCACAGAAGGATTCCCATTCTGTTGAATTCCGGATGTAGAACCAAATAGGTTGCTACTGCTAAAGAGGCCTGAAGCTGTCAAAAGAACATGCATGAGAGAAAGAGAGAAAACAATCAATCACTATATTAATTATGTAATTCTACAAAAAAAATTATAATCAACCAGGAGAAAAAATAGTCTAAACATAAAACAAACAGGAAGAAGACAACTATGAGAAATCATACTACTACATGTAATTAGAGGAGACGATTTCTGTGGGTTCAAACCATTTTTTTTGTATAAATATGCAAAAACTTTTATTGTTATTTGTTACTGGTCTTTTTGTTTAGTGTATATAGTAATATACCAGCAATTATTCGCAGACAAGTAACATGGGGAATCATATGAATGTTCTACTCCACTGAAGACGAAAGTTGCTGAAACTTAGCTAGCGTTTGCACATGAATTTGGTTGAAACTTGAAAAAAGAGTTTTTGAAAAATAATTTTTGAAAGTTGAAGTTGTGTTTAATTATTGGAAAAAAATTTGTAAAAAAAGGAGGCAAAATGCTTATATTATACTGTAAGTGTTTATCAATATATAAGTAGTCATTCTTGTTCTCAAATATCAAGGATATGGAGAAACTGCATAAACTTTCAACTTAGAATTAAGTTAGAACCAACAGAAATAGAGGAGGAACAAAAGCAAGCAAACATAAGAGCAGAAAGAATAAATTTCACTTACATGGTGCGGTATCATTTTTAAAGGAAAACATCGACATGTTTTGAAACAGAGATAGCAAAGAGCAAGATCACTGGTATATTCTCCTTAAAAGTGGAATGTTGGAAAAGACAATGTATGGGAATGAGGAAACATGATCGTGTATAGGAGTATATATTATATAAATAGAGAAGAAGAGTAGTTAGTTTTACGCAGACTTACATTTTAAGCCGAGTAACCGTACGTGTAGCTTACTCTTTAAGCTACTCGGTTCTCCGCCCTCTCCCATATCATGCCCAACATTAACTAACCGAACAAAATAATCCTAATACAATTTGGTATTATCTTTTTTGTTTGGTTGTCATTTTCATTTAACAAATGAAGGATTATCAATTTGTCATATGACGAATAAGTTATATAGTTCATTCAAGAGTCAAACGAGTTTCTCTTTTACTACATATTTTTCATATGCCTTTTAAATATTTTAAATAGTCGCTTGTTATAACTTATAATACTTTTTATACATTTTTAAAAAAATATGTACATTTTTTAAAAACTTAAAGATTTTATATTTAAATTTGCGATCAAAATTGAGAAGTTTGACTCTCGAAATCCTAATAGTATCAAACAAATTAGGACGGAGGAAATAATACACTAATTATTATGGCGAGAATACTTGCTTTAAGGACAAATTTATTGTTAAATGCTTTTATGTCTATATTGAAAGAAGTAGTCAAGCCAAAGAGGTAAAAAAAAACAAGAAGGTTTTTCGTTTGATCTTGCACATAATTTGTTTAAAGCGAGTATAACTAATGCGAGTATTATTTAATATCGCTGATCGAACGCTTCATTAATTACGCAAAATTTATTTTTTTCTTGTACTACCAATAAACACTACATTACTTGTGTTGGGATTATTATTTATTAACTTAATTCCTCCAATAAAATATTTTATTATTTTTGTAGAGGAGTTTGTATTAGGAGTATGTTTTCTAATCCCTCCAATCAAACAACCTCGTAGGTATTGTTAGTACGAATTAAAGATGTCAAGGGGTCGGGCCGGGCCGATCGGGGTAGAGGAAAAGGGAACAGGCCGGTTTCGGTATCGGGCCGGTTACCGGTTATTTTTTACCGGTTTCAGGCTTCCCCGATGCTAAATTGAACCGAAACGGTTCCGTGCCTAATGGGCCGGGCCGTTTTTTTCTTCTTCTTGTATTTGTATAGCAATTGTAATTTTATATTAAGATAAAGTAAAAATGCAAAACACTAAAAACTAACGTATAAAAAGAATGTTTGAATAAATTTCAAAAGCTTTAAAAGCTTTATATTTGAAAAATTCATTACGAATTTAGATAATACAATGAACATGAAAAAAATATAACTTATAGGATAAGTCTTATACTAGAGTGTTGATAACTTGATATGTAATGATCAAACTTCAAAGGCTTTCATTTCATATTTTCATTGCATAATAATACTTCAAATTAACTTGTCTAACAAACTAAAACATTAAGCTTAAATAGGTCTAATAATTTTAAAATAATACAAATTGTCTCAAATCAACTTAAATAAGAATTTTTGGAAGACGCTCAAGACAACTCTTCATATGCCTCCTTAAACAGCATGCGTCCTCTCACTTTCAGCGAACATTTAAGACTCGACCACAGTTCTTGCATTTTACTTTGCGAACTTCTTCATTTTCTTCTACCACTTCAAAGTGTTTCCAAACATATGAGCGCACTCTAGAAGCATGGGGCATGATTTAACTTGGGTTTGAGAATTGAGAGATAGTGAAGAAATGAAGAAGGAGCGGGGGTCTATTTATAGTTTTTTAAAGGGTTAAATTAGTAAATAATAAAAGTATTATTTTTGAAAAAAATATCCAAAAAGGGATATTCTTGCAAATTAGCCGTTGAGCAACGGTCAAAATATATATATTTTTTTAACTTAGTCATTGAACCAATCCAGGCCTGTCCGTTTAACCGGTTCCAGGTTGTACCGATCCGGTTAACCGATATCAAAACTCTCCCCGACACAAGCCGGTTCTCGTCCCAATCCAGCTTTGTCTGGCCCCCTTACTATCGGGCCGGTCCGGTCTACAACCTATCAGGGCCGGTCCGAAACCGGCCAGCCTGGCCCGTCTGACACCTTGAATATAAATTAATTATAACCAATGCATTATACGTAACACGATTCTTTTCATAATTATAACAAAACGAGTCTATGAAGCACGCGACCCTTGATTGCGCAACGGACTCCATATTCGAACCTAAATCACAAAATCAGAGTGGAATTGAATTCGCCCCCAATTTCAAATTGCGCTACACTTTCTTCTTCGACCAGCTGACACTGCAACCCTACTCTACTCGCCCCAGGCTCCATTTCTTTCTATTTGCCGGCCAAATCAAGTTGTAAGTTACCGTCTTTTTCGTCTTCGAATGTGCTTTAATGGTAAAATAGGAATTCCGAATCGATTGCTTTGTGTCTGCTCATACTGCATAAAATTGTGTTTCACCATGTGATAATGGCTTCTAACTTGTTATGTTGTACTAATTAGCTTTTAAGTGCTAGCAATTACTGGTACTTTGGCACAAATTACTGTATCCACATGGCTTGACTTTAGGTTAATATATTAGAGAACTAGAACTTTAATTTTTCTGATAATTAACTATAAATGTCTTGTTTGCCTAGATTATAAATTGTTAGAGAGTGGACAAGTTTATCTGAGGGAAGTGTTACAGATTCCTGTTACTTTTCTTTGCTTATATGCCATTGTTTTAATTACTCCTTTAAGTATAATTCACTCTATCCATATGCGTCGAGTTAAGATTACCAGTCTTGACTTTGCAGCCAAATAAAAAACTAAGAGCAACTATCTTGATAAACCGGCATGGTTCTTGATATGATTAATTGGCAGTATGCTGCTAGTTCATCGCCATATTGTGCTCTTTTGTTCTAGTATAAGTTGCATTCGTCTATACTGTCCTAAAATTTGGACTTGAGAAGTAGGAAAGAGTTTGTATCTTGGTTTCTTTCTTCACTATGTTTAACTTTAAGCTTACAGGTTGCTAATATGACATGAAAGAAACTGTGGGCTAGGTGGGACATGAGTGGTTTGCTAATAGTATCCACCATTTGGTATGTCTAGATTGATCATCGATTAAGTTGTGTCCCAAACGTATTAAAGATGGAATATTTATCAGTTCTTGGGAAAAAGTTACAAATATTAAGGTCATCTGCCACATCCTTTCCAGATAATTTGATTTCAAAGTCTTTTGTGTCAAATATAAGCAGTGTGATATCATTGTTTTAAGTACAGCTTAAGCGCAAAATTGGTATATTTGACTGAAGGTTAATAAATTACCAAAACGGATAATTAGGACCTCTACATTAGGGATTGGTGAAGTATTATCTTATGGTATGTCTTATAATTTTGTAAAACTTCTTTGTTTAGATATCATTGTTTTAGGTACCCTTGAGTATAATCCAGTCTTTCTGCATGCCTTAAGGTTAATATATTAGAGAACTAGATACTTGATACCTCTAAAAATTACAGTAATTACTATTTTGTTTACCACTAAATTATTGGAGGGTGGTCAAATTCTATCGGAGGGATGTCTTACAATTTTGCTAGATTTGTTTTTATATGGTCGCTTGCGTATATAAGAACCAATATGGTCCAACACTTCCCTACATAGCTGGAGCTTAGTGCACCAAGCTGCTGGTTCTTTTTGTATGGTGAGTGGCATTAGAGTTATACACAAGTACATCCCATATGAATTTTGGTTCATATAACTGTGTCTTTCTTTTCTCTTTTACCTCTTTTTGGTCTCCTCACCTCTAGACTTGATTTTGAGACCAACATGACAAGAGAACAGTCAAAAAGAAGTTGCTCAATACTTACAATTTTGCAATTAATTTTAGAACATCAAGTTTGATATAAGAAAGGCGTAATTTTCTCACTCTCTTTTTGTGGGGGATAAAGGGTTGGGGGCAGTTAGAGTTGGTAGAGGTGTTCTGTTTTTGTTTTTACACCTATATTTGTTCGACAGAGAGCATGTTTCTCAACAGCTGATCTTTACTTGGTTGTAACAACAATGCGCCTGGCTCACTTGAGTTTAGTGTTCTCAGCAGCTCTGCCTTCTCAGTCACAATGGAGCAAGCTGCTTTGACCACTGCAGAGAATTTGCACCTAAGTAATAATTCTAAATCTTTATCAATTGATTTCCCTTATTTGGTTGGCTTAAAGGGAGGGAGTAAGGGAGGGACCATACATAGATTGGCAGTGACGAAGCTAGGAATTTCTCCAAGGGTGTTCAAATTTAAAAGAAGTGAAAAAAGATTCCGACAAAGGGTGTTCAATATGTGTTATATACCTCTAAAACGTAATATTTTACCTATGTACACAGTGCAATTTTTCGACGAAGGGTGGTCAGTTGACCACCCTTAGGACCATGTGGCTTCGCCACTGTAGATTGGAATACGTAAATTTGTAGTCAAATCATAATAGGTTCAATTTATCATGACAAAACCTCCATGGTTCCTTGTGTGATAAGATTTCATTAGGCTGCCACTTCTTTGATGTATTGTATTTTCCCTTGCTGGTAGTATCCAGGAAAGTGCAGTCATCTGCATTATAGTGAAGTTTGCATGCGAGAAGTGGTGAGAGATTTATCTTGGTTTCTTCTTCACTCAATTTAACTTTAAGCTTATGGTTCATGACATGATAACAATCAATGTTGTTAAAAATGCTGCTAACAATCCCATTGGGCTATTTATGAATGAGCTATATTGTCAATTCCTTCTAAATCCTTGCTGCACTGCCGTCGATCAGATACGATTTGGATGTGGCTGTGTGATCCGTACCAGATTTGGTCAACCTAAACTGCACCTTTGACCAAGAAGTATAGGTTGACTGGGTATTTGGTTTTAATATGGGATTATGTCATATATTCGAATCCGCTCGACGCTTGGTCCAATATATTTTTTTAGCCTGTAGCGGAAAGAGTTATGTAAGGCAAAGACATTTTGTCCCTTCTGAATTTATACTCTCATGTCCTCTCCTTTGTCATTTTACTAGTTTATTTTATTTTCTTTGCTTGAAATCAATAATAATTATTCTATAATTTAATTTGCTTTAAAAAATTAAATCTATCTACAAAGTGAATTTTGATTCTTTCTGTGTCCAGGCCAGCGCACGTACCTCGACTAATTCCACGGGATACCTGCAACCTCCCACCAGCAACAAGTACCAGGTAACTCTATCCACCAAGGCTTGGGTAGATGGAAAGAAATTAGGTAACTCTATCCACCAAGGCTTGGGTAGATGGAAAGAAATCACCTAGTATTTTTTGCCTCCGCTGGGATTTGAACCTGAGACCTCATGGTTTTCACCCACTTCATTGACCACCCGACCACTCCCTTTGGTGCGAATTTTGATTCTTTCTTAAAATTTGATTAAAATGCAAGTATATTTATTCAAACTATTTATTTTTTAGTTTAATTTAAATTTAGTCTATGTTGAAATGTCTATTTGTTTTATACTAAATTTTTGGATGTGGTATATAGAGTAACTCTTTTTCACTAATTATTGGAACTAATTTAGGATTTATAAATTCTTTTATTCTCTTTTGTTTAGAAATAACAACTTCTAACATAATAACAAGAAAAATTCTAGATTTTATATGAATATCTTAGAGCTAATAATATTTTTTAAATTGAATTTCTTGAAGTAAAAATTGTTAAATTAAATAGATAAATTGCTAAAAATAGAAAAATATTTATTTTTATATCTTTTTAAAAGTATTTTTAACTTTGTTAAAACTATAGAGCGCGGACTTTAGCATGTCTTTGTTTTGATTTTGTTTTAAGAAAAAAAGAAGTGATCAAACCTTACATGCTTGTCATACCCAACACTGCTTATACTAATATCTATCGATGTTGTTTTTTTGAACCTGCTTGTGTAAAATCCTGGATCCGCCACTGGTTATACCATGTAAATTTTCCTTGGATTTCTCTACTTGAGGGTCTGAATTTGAATGGTCCTGATCTCAGCCCATTGAGTCCATTTTTTTTCCGGACGTTAAAATACATGCTTGTCTCTCTCTCGCGTAAAACATTATTTCTACTTTCGGCAAAACGACTTCACTCGTATCAACATCAACCAGCCACAGCCAAATGTTTTTCTTCGGTAATATTTCAAAATCTTTACTTAGAATTCTCCATCTTGATTCCATTTTTTCAATGGTAATTTATTGTTTTGAGATTAGAGTTTGAAAAGACCCTTTTTGAAATCATCAAAAAGAGAAGACCTTCTAAAGTAGAAGGATGCATTGATAAAAATTGTGGGTTCAGATGGGAAGGATAAATTCTAGTATAAAGAATAGAGTTATTGACAGTTTGACAGAAGTGTTAGGTCTGAGTAAACTTCGATGGCTCGTCATACAGTTCTTTGCATAATCTTCTCTGAACTTCTAAAATTACATTTCTTCTTGTGAGTTCTAAGTGAAAAATCTACATTCTAACTCCCTGAAAAACTTTTGGGCACTATCAGTTTGTGTATGAGAGATCTCAGATGCATAGAGTAATATCAAATTTAAAGGGTTTTATGTCATTGTTTGGAACAGTAGAACAGTGAAATATAGTAAATTGGGTTGGTGATGGTAAAAACATTATCTTGAATCATGGGAAATTATAGCCCTTAACAAAGCTCCTTTTATGTTTTGAAGCTTCATCATTGGATTATTTGAGGACCAAAAAATGTTTACTTCATGTGTATGTGCCCTCTTTCTTGGATATGAGATTATTGTTGTTGGTTCTAGAGAGAAGAGGAGGTACTAGAGAGTTTTGTGTTTTAGTTATTTAATTTTTTTTTTCAGTATTTGAATATTTAAACTTGATCAGATTATCAGTTAGTTATTTAAATACTTTAATATTTGTGCATCTAAATTAGAACTAGTTTTGAGTTTATTGTTTAAATTTGTTGGATAAGTTTGATTAGAAGATAAATTTACGTTGAATAAAATATTTATGATTATATTTTGTTACAAAAATTGTTGTTATTGATATATAATTTATTTATAGTTCAGATAGTTTAATAATTGAATCAAACACAAAATACTCATTTACATATTTAAATACTTCAATTTATCTCAAATAATGATTATTTTTGTTCAAGTTAGTATTTCTCTAGTATTTTATTCATATAATAGTTAAATATTTTTATTTGAATTGTATATTTGTTATATTTAAATATAGATAAATTATACACATTTCTATATTGAACAAACAATCTTAATTATTCAGTGTTTAGATATGCATATACATCTTAATATTCATATGTGCATTCAAATTCAAATGTCTTAATCTTAATAAAAACAAATGAGGCCTTGTTGTCCTTGTAAAACTCAATATACAGTGCATATAACCTAATAGCAGTACTAATTGTAATAAAACTAACCTCCGTTACTATGATTATAGAACAAAAGAATACAAAGGAGAAGGTACATAACTACAAATTATGATCTAACGAAGATTAAGGACCTCTTGTGGCATTTGGCCTAATCGAGGTCAAAGTTTGAGAAACCATTTTCCATATACTGGGTGTACACCGTGTGTACACACCAAAATCTGGTAAATTTAACTTTGAAATCTAAAATTAGATATTAAAATAAAAATTACAAATACATAAAACTTTTATGGCTTAATTAATCTAACTTCTAGGAGCAAATATGAAGCAACTAATAAAATTTACCAATGAGTTACTTGTATAATTTATCTTATGTTTACTTTCTTATGTTATTCTAGTACTAGTATATCTGAAATGTTCTTTCGACAAATGTCCCGCATAGAAGTGTTTTTGACCCGCTAAAAGAAAAGCCCCAAAAACAATTGCTTCCAGGCTTAACCCCCAGTATCAGTACTCATTTGATTTGAATTTTAAAGTATTTGACGAAATGCCTGAATGATTCTTGCTCTAAACCAAGTAGATTCTTTCCCATTTTCTTCACCATTGAGTTACAGGAGTAGGCATAGTTGATTGAAGCTATTCAGCCATGACAAGCTCTTGGCAGAGGAAGGAGCTTCCCTTTCTCATTCTCTACGCCGTTGGATTTTACTTTATCATCATTCGTCGTTCTCTCCAAATCTCCCGCGGTATTCTCTCCTTTTCCCCATGTCTCTGTGTGTTGAATGGACAAATAAATAATTACTAATCCAACTTTTATTTGGTTAATTGAATCTGCAGATCATTACACCAAACTTTATGGGCTTCGACCTGGCTGGATCTCTGATAGACTCAATGTATGCTAATTTTACTTTTTAACCATTTTTGAGTTCTCTTTATTTTGGTTACTGTTGCTACTGGGGTTTTGTTATGGTAATCCCTCTATCCTAATTTGTGGGGCACAATTACTACTTTAGGAGTCAAATAGCTTCTTCTTTTACCACTAGAGTCTTTCATATATTTTAAACCAGAGAACATTGTGGTTTGTAGTACTTATTACGTAGTTTCGAAATAATGTGCTTGATTGGTGAAAAATATTCTCTCAGAAGGGAAAACATTTTCCGCAAAAAGGGAAAAAATTACTTCCTTCACTTATGAAGTAATTTCCTATACAAATATCCTTATTCTTACTGTAACTTACTTGAATTAATACTTAGAATTTGTTCTCAACCTTTAATAGTCAACTATCACCGACCCAACTTGTTTGAGTTGTTGTAGTATTGTCAAATTATTTTTCTTGTAGTTGATCCAAAAAATGATTTTCCAAGGTTGAACATTTTCTGTAGAAAATATTTTTCATGGATAACATTTTCTCCATACCAACAAGAATTAAGGTGTGATGTTTGAATTAGCATATTAAATTAGATGCATCGACTCTGGTACGCACCCTGCCATTATTTTTCAGACAGAGGGAGTAGTCATTTTTGTATCAATTGTGCATCTAGTAACATTTTAGATATTTTTCATCCTCTTTGTTAAGTTTTGCTCTATTGTTAGGATGTATCAGATGCTCAGTGGAGAAATTTTCGGGGCAACTTGCCGATTCTTACCTTGGTTTTTGGAATCTTCGCTCTAGTGGCTACTGTATCTAGATCATATGGCCTAAAAGCAAAGGGAATGTCAATCGTTTGGCTTTTACTGTCTATGGCTTATTTGTCATATCTCCATGGAGCTTGGTGTGTTTTCTATTTTAAAATTTAAAAAGTAATATTTTTCCATTGTGGGTCTCGGGATTCCTTTGTGACGTTCTGTTTTTGGTGCAGCATTGTATACATCTTGTCAATTGCTTCAGCTAATTATCTTTTAGTTAAGGTTTGTATCGTGGAATTTTAGTTTCATATTCTATTGTTGATATAGAGAATTTATGATATTCAAATCTGCTAGCTTTCCTTTGGAGATTTTATTTTTAGCTGTGTTGCAGAAATTTTTCATCTTTCTGCAAGAGCTACAACTAGACAATTTTCATTCCATAGTGCTGGATGTGGAGGATTTTCATAACTAAAAATATCTTTATTGTTAAAGTTGCGGAAAATAGTCCCACATGACAAAAGAAGTTATTCTGTTTTTATTTACTATACCTTTGTATCTGCAGGTATGCGGAAGGACCAAATATGCCTTCCTGTTGTGGATATTTAATCTTACATTTCTAATATGTAACCGTGTTTATGGAGGATATCCATTTTCCCTTTTGGGGTAAGTTGTCTTTGGTCAATCACAAGCTGCATTTTACTATGATGTGATTTATCTGAGTCCAGAAATTACGTTATTTTAATACTTCCGATGATCTTGTGTCTATGTTGTAGGCCAAAGTGGGCCTACTTGGACAATTATCGAGGCACATTTAGGTGGCATATATGCTTTAACTTTGGTATATACTCTCGATCTGTCTATTTTAAGTTGCATGCATGTTTTATTTCCATCACTTATCACCTCATCTGTTCTCTCAAATAACTACCCCTTCTTGGTTGATCTAAAAATGAGTCTTCTTTCTGGGGAGAAAAGTCTTGCCGTGGTACTTTTGGGATATCAAATAAACATTCTACGCTGTTCGACATTTTTTCAGTAAGATGCCGTTGAGATAAGATTGAACCATATTTTATTCCAAAAATAATCTTTATTTTAGTCCCCTGAAGGGAACAATTTCATTAAAGGGGTAAAATCTCTCTATATTAGGACCCACTTCCATTTAAATATGATAAAGCTCAACTGTTCCGCTATACTCATGTCCAATCTATTTAGTTGATTTATTACAGGTGACACATAAGGAGACATATTGAGGATCTTGAAACATAAAGAAGTAAAAACATAGTTAATGGTGGTCGGTGGATAAGAAAATCCTCGGCAATTGTTGTAATAGGAACACACTTGATGACCTTTATAGTGTCCTTGCTTACAAGGTTTCCTGAGTGCAACTTTATGTTACATATGCATAATAGCTGACAAAGTGGAAAGTTTGTTGCTTTATGAGAAGTTAGGATTCATGCCTATTATTTCTTGAGGAAAACTCCAAGTTGTGCTCTTTAATTTAAAAATAAAAGGTACTTTACCTGCTCGCAATATGTTTGTATCAAGATCCCATTTTACTGGGGAAAAAGATTTAGTTTTATTTATCTTTCTGCCTAGCGCAAAGGTGCTATGTAACGTGCCTGTTTAGAACTGCAAATATACCAAGAAAGAAAGTGAAGGAACTGTAGCGTTTAACTAATAATTCCCTGTTATACTTTGCTGTCAACATGGATAGAAACATCTTCATTGGTTATCTGAAGTTTTAAGTGTATCTATTTTGCAGTTGTCCTGCGAATGATTAGCTTTGGGTACGACTACCATTGGGCAGGTCATGATAATCGCTTTGACCAAGAGGTATGTTGATGGTAAGATGTCCATTCGAAAGTGCTGTCAATTATGTACATCCTTGTTACCATCATAGATTCTTTCCTTTAGTACTGCATCATGAACACTATTTCCTTAAGAGATCTCCTTTATCTCACAGCATAATATCTTTGCATGAACATGCGTGTTAAGAGAAGGTTGCCATGTGCTGCTGATAGATGGTCTCCATTTACTTAGTTCTCTCAATAGGGTAGATACCACTTCAAGCATCAATTTCCTGTATGAGCTCATTGATTGGATATTGGAATCTTATCTTCATTGTTTTATCCTATATATAGTGGTTAACAGTTGATGAATGCAATCATATAAAATGAAGCCTTTATCTGTTCTGATATTAGTAGTTACGGTGATTACAGAAGCATGTTCAGCGTTGCAATAATTGCTCATCAGGAAAAACATGCTACCAGCTATTACAGGTTAGCCGGTAATTCAATTGCTAGATTCTAAATGTATCTAGCTCTCTACGTGTCTGAACCATCTCCCCCCTTTGCAGGGAAGGAGTCTCAAAAACGACACATTCTCCTTTACTATATATTTGTGTTACCTGATTTATGCACCTCTTTATATTGCTGGACCAATTATTAGCTTCAATGCATTTGCTTCACAGGTAGAGATGATTTTGCTTTTACATCCTTTTTCTTCTTTTATGTCCTTATATTTGTGCAGAAGATACTGTCATAGCGTAAAAAATATGAACATACATGCTGTTGAATAACTGTACTTATGTCAGTGCCCTCCATTTAAAAAACAGTAATTTTCTATCTGGAATGCCATGTGCCAGAAGGAATGACAGGTTGTTAAGAACCATTCCTTCGGCGAGATCACAATTATTTTTGTGTGGTACATCTTGAATCTGTTCTTATTTTTGGTGTGTACTTCTCTTTGGTATAGCTGATTGTCCCAGTACGAGTTTGAGCAATGAATTTGACCACTTTTGTTTTCCTTTACTTTAACCAAGAATTTTGTGAACAGCATGACCTTCATCAATCTCATTGTTTATTGATGTTACTGTCGTTGCAGTTGGATACTCCTCAGAAAACATACTCAGTACAAGATGTAGTGTGGTATGGACTACGCTGGATTTTTAGCTTGATGCTAATGGAGACAATGACACATTTCTTTTATTACAATGCTTTCGCAATCAGGTGAGTATCTTATGGTGTTCAAATAACCCCAATTTCTTTGAACTCCTATCTGGCCTTGTGATTGAATCTTGTTAAATTTGCAGTGGAACATGGAAATACTTATCTCCATTGGACATCTTCGTCATTGGGTATGGAGTAAGTGCTGGAACATATAATGCTAGAGCCACTTAACTCATAGAGTTCCCTAGTAAACATAATTCTATGTGTTTCTCAAAAATGAATAATTGAAAACAGCAGCTTGCAGTTATTGGTCGTAAATCCTTTGAACAGCTTGATCTAGGTCGGAGTAAATGCTGGTGTTTAAATTTAGAGCTACTTAGGTCATAGCTGTTAGTGCTGTTCTGTGTACAAAATACATGATTTTTTTTCTTGAAAGGTAAAAATTGTGAAGGAACAGATGAATCTCAAAGCAAGCAAGATCTGTGCTTTTTCACTCCCCTAGTTCCATTTTTAAATGTTTTGGCTTTATTGAGTTTTGCTGCGCATGTCTTTGATTTATCCAGTTTTGCCACATGGAATATTTTTCCTTAACGATGCACAACTCCAAGAGTCTAACTGGAATGTGGACCGTTGTTCTTTAACCATTTAAAGACTTAAAAAGTATCACTTATTCTAGATCCTTCAGATACTTTGAGGCTTTGTCTTTAGATCCCTGCAGATGCACACTGACCACCATTCTTCAAGTGTGATATTCTATTTCTCTAATTCAATGCTGAGGTGGTGAAATGTTTGTACATTTGTATGCTACCTATTTTCTTTCTACAGAGCTGCTCAACTAGAAAATTCAGACCTATTTTATTTATACAGATATATATAAACGCAACACCTCTGAGGTGCTCTATGTAGTGAGGTTCAATCCTTTCATTCGCCTTTAAACTCCCCAAGCGTGGAAGGGAAAGGCCCTTGCAAATAGTACCTTATGGTTCAACATCTAAAGGAGAATTTTATAAGCAAGTCAAACGAAAGAACACCAACTATCATCAACAAGGAATTGCTGTTAAATCTGATTCTTTTCCCTCCACGGTTTCTTGTATTTCCCTCATTCTTATATTTACTTAAAATGCTTATTCTCTCAAGCATCTTTTTTGGTATTTGTTATTGAAGTGCCAATGGTCTTTCAGACTATCTCTTGAGTTACTGATTTTCCAGTTAATAGGATGTACCATTACTAATCTCTATGATAAAAAGAGCAGGTTTTGAATTTCATGTGGCTCAAGTTTTTTCTGCTTTGGCGCTACTTCAGATTCTGGTCACTGGTAAATTTTGCAGTCATGCTTCTTTTGCCTTTCTACTCGTTCCTAAGCTGTAGCTCCTTATGCTTATGCTTTTTGGAGACGTTTGGTCTCCGCAGCATGTTAATCATATATCTGAGGAGAAGCCTCTTTTCTACCATAATATTTGTCCAGGTCAATGGCATTGAGGCTCCTGAGAATATGCCAAGGTGTTTAAATAATTGCTACAACTTGGAAAGTTTTTGGAAAAACTGGCATGCCTCCTTTAACAAATGGCTTGTTAGGTACTGTTCTCAATCTTTTGACTTGCTTTATCTGAGCATCTGTCTCGCACTGACACTAAGATTTGGTATGATGTGTCTACTCAGATATATGTATATTCCTCTTGGAGGTACTCAGAGAAAACTGCTAAATGTGTGGGTCATCTTCACGTTTGTTGCTATATGGCATGATCTGGAGTGGTACTGTTTCCGCAATCATCAACTCCACTTTGTATTATTGTACTCGGCTTAGACTTCACCTGACAACTTGTTTGCAATTGGCTTCAGGAAGCTTCTTTCTTGGGCATGGTTGACATGCATCTTCTTTGTACCAGAAATGATAGTAAAATCGGCAGCGAATGCTCTCAAGGTTATGCCATTCAATGCTTAATTCGTAGTTCTTTTTGTTCTACGCATGCCGGTTTTTATTTTATTTTATGACCGACTATTTTTTCTTCTTGGTGCCATGTTGCTGAACCTATTGTACGCACTAGGTGGAGAGCTCTTTTGGCAAGTTCCTTTGCCGTGAACTTAGTGCTGTTGCTGGGGCTATCACCATCACTTGTCTCATGGTTTGTCTGCTAAATTATTAGTCAGTCAAAATAGCATGCTTTTATATTATTTTATTGAGTTAATACCTAAAAAACCCCTTAAACTATCCACGTATCACAACTTTAATACTTAAATTGTTGGGTGACTTCACTCTCTTTGTAGTGTGCGGAGCTAGAGATTTGGCCAAAAAGAGTATACATGTGGCATTTTTCATTCATTGTTTAAATTAATTATTTTTATCTCTTAGTCGGTATCTTTTCTTTTTCTTTCTTATTCAATATTTTCTTTTTCTTATTCAGTTTTTTCTTCTTCAAATCTTTTGCTAATGACATTAAACTTCTTGTTTCCCATAACCTTAAAATAATAATAACATCAAAAAATAATTAATCTATTTGAAATCACGAGTGCATTTTATCATATAAATAAACTCTGTTAAAAAATATAACTTCTAAATTTTTTTTTTGATAACCGTGGTATCTCAGTTAAAAAAGATAACTTCTAATTTTTTTTTTCATAACCGTGGTATCCGGGCCAGCTTGCATGCACCTCGACTAATTCCACAGCATACCTGACATCTCCCACCAGCAACAGTACCAGGTAACTCTGTCCACCAAGGTTTGGACTGATGGGAAGAAATCACCTAGTGTTTTTGTCTTCGTTGGGATTTGAACCCGAGACCTCATGGTTCTCACCCATTTCATTAACTACTAGGCCATACCCTTAGGTGCAGTAATACCAACAAATTAACAAAAAAGAAACAAAAATTTGAACGTTTAAGCATATAATATTTTTTTCTTATTTTTTCTTTCTTGTTGCCTTATCTAAATTTAGTGATTTCTTTTTTTTTTTTCCTCTTGCAGAACCGAAACTTTTTGTTTATAAAAATAAATCTAGTTGAAAATCCATATTCGTAAAATAACGGTAAAACAAAATAATAATAATCAATAACAGTAAACCTAATTGCAAATCAGAATCGAATTTAATCAATAAAATTAAACCCAATTGAAAAGATTGAACATTAAAATGTACTTAAAATAAATGTTCACGTATGGTTATGTCTTTTTTAACTGAGTCTATCATTATTGATATAATTCATTTGTGATTGGCAACTAGGTTTATCATTTTCTTTGATTAAATTATTTTTAGTATTACTGTTATTAGCAAAAGATGTAGAGTTTTGAGGAAGAAAAAAGTAAAAGAGAGTAGAAAGAAAAAATAACAAATAAAAATAATTAATTTTAAAAAATAAATGTAAAATGCGACATTGATGCTCTTTTTGGTCTATTTTCTAGCTTTCACATACTACAAAAAGAGTGAAGTCACTCTCCATGCCACTTGCACTGTAGGTTTTTTTTAGATAAGAAATGTTATAGTTAAGTGTAACAACATTCCATAGTTCAAGTATTAAAGTTGCAAAACGTGGATAGTTTTAGTTTTTTTTTTTTTTNAACTGAAGAACAAAAACTAATGTTGCTCTTTCAGAGTGATAAAGTTGTTCAAATTACAGGACATAAGACTAGAAATATGAAGAATTTTGGATATTTCTGCATATCAAGATTCAACCATATGACTTAACTTATTGCCGAGTGTCACTAATTATTTTGTGCACTTTATGATCGTAACATATTGTGCATGATGAGCACTCATCAGCACATGCAAATGCATTGCAACAATGCCACAGTTCGTAGCCACAAGGTGGGATGAGAAAAATTGAACTTCTGATTGACCTTTCCCTAGTGTGCGTTTAGAAGGGTTAAGCGGACAACTTTTATGTTTCAAAGGTCTTCGTGTTGCATTTTAGCGGATGTTTTGCCACCTAAAGCTGAAATGGTTAAATTTTGTCTTAACCACACTGCTTTGTCATCAGGTGGCCAATCTTGTTGGCTTTGTCATCGGACCGTCCGGAATCAATTGGTTTCTTTCTAGATTTCTTCAGAAAGAAGGTACTGTGTCACATTTTACTTGATGCTTGTCTATTAGATTGATGTAGGTGCAGAGATGACAAAATATTCCATGTTTTAGGACTCCCGACACTTGGTGGCATGTTTATTACGTTTTACGTTGGCACTAAGGTAGGACTCTCCAAATGCATCTAATTCACTTTGAACTTCCTCGATGCTTTTTATCATGCTATGATCTTATAATGCAGCTGATGTTCCATATATCTGAAGCTAAGAAAAATGTCCGTGGTAGATGATACAAAGATTTGTTCCTGTCCGACTGAGCAGAAAAACATAGTGATGCAAGTGAGGAAGCTTTCAAGCAATAATTGTATTGTATCACGAGGGAATTGCTTGGTATGTTTCAGGATTGTTTTTGGGTCTTTGGACAGCGAGGTGACCTTTTAGCTGGGTATTTCAGTATCCGTCTATTTTTAAGTTTTATGTTCACCAGATTGGTCAATGTGAGCTCGCCAGGTTGCAGTTTTGTGTGGATAACTCGGGTCTTACCACGGCAAGAATGGGGCTAAGTGGGGTACAAAATTTTTGGAGTTCGCTGCAAGCTTACATTAGGTGAGCGTGTGCGCTGTTGATCGTCTTCCAATGATCTATTGTGATATATTTGACAACTCGAGCCAAAGGGTAAAAGACAGAAAATAGCAAGTTGTTTCCTTTACAGGCGTTTGTATTATGGTTCTTGGCTTCTTATCAAATGGGCCATCTCTCGTACGGGTATTCTAAAATTGCTTCAATTCATTTCAAGCTACAGTACAGTTGTCTTTATCTTAAACTGCTTGTGATTTGAAAGTCCAAACCTTGCTAAAAGGGTTTTAATCATGATTAACAGCAGAACAAATACACTGCAATGAAATATTTCAGCAAATGGACAAAGACACGTAAAATTATAATGCCTGCATCCAAATTGGATACTCATGTTTAAACCCAACAAAAAAGATAAAGTTGAATGCAAAGATGTTTCAGTGATTTTATCAATCCCATTTTATGGTTAAAAGCAGAATAAGGTTAAAAAAGTAGAATTTATCTTGTGACTTATCTGATCTTTTGTTCCTTTTGGTGACAAAGAAGTCAAGTGGCCTTTTCATCACATGCAATATACTTGAGCAAAGTGGAGAAATCCTTACTTTGGATATTTCTCTCTTTTAGGTCTCAAAAGTAAGATCACCTATAGTGGAAATTGAGATGGTTTCCTTTTGATCTAAGCATATGCTTTAGTGGAATGAAATGGTTGTGTAGTTCCAAACTTCCAATGCTTTTCATGAGTGTTACCCTTACATTTCAAAGACAGATATTTTCGCATCCTATTTTGTGTGTACAGAAAGTTAACAGCAGATAAATAGAATAAGGAAAAGAAAGAGGCCTTTTAGTATCAGCACAACTATAAGATTTTAAATTTCAGCCTGTCTGATTTTTTTTCTTAGTAGTATTTTGGATAAAGTGTTTCTCATTCAACTGAGTCCTCTACAAAGGCTTGCGGATTCTCCAGATTATTCAGCCAAATAACAGAGAAACATAAGTCTAAATTAATTATTAGCCTACATCTCCTGGAATAACTTCGAGTTCAGTGATTTATCTTTTTCCAAAAAGTTATTGGGATATAAGTTTTGCTGTTAATTTTTAGTGCTATGAGTTTTCTATAAAAATAGCACGGACTAGTCAGTTTTCGGACTGGTAATTCAAAAGTAGCCACCGTTTGTAAAGTCATTAAAAAATAGTCACTATTTTGCTGCAACACGGACCGGTCCAGCATAATATACTGGAGATTGGTGCACCTGTGTATGAACTTTCAGCATATTATGCTGGAACTCCAGCACGCAGAAAGTTCCAGCATAATATACTGGAGATTGGTGCACCTGTGTATGAACTTTCAGCATATTATGCTGGAACTCCAGCACGCAGAAAGTTCCAGCATAATATACTGAAGATTGGAGCACCTGTGTATAAACTTCCAGCATATTACGCCGAACCGGTATATTATAATGGAATATGCTGGAGCTCCAGTATAATATAATGGAACTGTGGCTATTTCTCAATTACCACTTGTAAATCTGGCTATTTTTTAATTTCTCCGGAGTTTTCTATGGATGTAACCTGTGCTTCTTTAATTTTTTAGGCCTTTCCTGCTGTCTGATTATTGGTCCTTGGGCTCCACGACTCATTAATTCTCACATCAAATACGACTAAGAATTCCTAGATTCATAAACTGACAAGCATGATGTTATTAGAGTTGAGGTCGATCGTGTGCATTTGATTTGCTTGGCGTTTACCTTCTGTTTTTTAGCTGAGTTGAAAACGATAGTCACAGATGATTAGGTTCTCAATGACCAGTACAAGGAACTTAGCCCTGACTCAGCCTGAATTGTATTCATTGTGTTTGTTTTATCGACAAGAAAATAAAGAGAAAACTGATATTAATTTGATCTTAGTTTAGACAAAATTGCTGAAGTTAGAAAACTTTAGTGAGAAGAAATAGCTCAAGTCATAGCTGATAGACTGGATTTCACTAAGCTATATCCTATAAAATATGAAAAAGCAATATTTTGTGTGGGGATGCATCCATGTGGCGCATAACATTCTTTTCAACAATACCCTTTTCATATACTATATGATGTGCCGATCAGCCATAAATGTTTAATGGTTTATCCATTGATTGATGGGTCCAAAAAACTTAACATAATCCTCAAAGATTTCATTTGTATTGTGTGGTTGTTTTCCACACTTTAACTTTTTCTAGACTCATCTTTCTTTGAACCAGAAAAAAGATATCAACTTTGAAGTTGACAACTGATTGTACCTTTATTTAATTTCCTCTGCTGCTTCATCTTTTTTCTCTTGGCTTATGGGTTAAATCTAAAATTATGACTCCCAGAATAGAGAATTTGTGTTACTGCTTCTTGTTCTCTTTATGTTGTATTGACACCAGGTCTCGTGTTTCATGACCAAAAAAAGCTATGCACAATAGTCTTGATCCAAAGGACAAAAGAAAGAACAAAGCAAAATATTATTTGGAAAAATAATCTTACAGTTTTCTGTCAGATGAATATTTATTTGGTTTGAAACTTGAAAAATGAGTTTTTGGAAGTTGAAGTTATGTTTGAATATATATTTTATTTGAAAAAAATTAAAGTTTTATGAGTGAAAGAAAAAGTTTCACGCAAAAACTGATCATTTTACATGAACGAGCAATGTTTTCAATCTTTTTTTAGTAAAATAAAAAAAAACAGCTAAAATCTATAGGCTAAGCAACATTTTTATCTGACATTTGTGACAGAGTCATTTAAACTTGTCGCCTCTATATGATCATTGATGTCAGGAAAACATTCTCATGTGCACAGAATACATCTCTGAAAATAACTGACTCCTTAGTATAAAATGTAGACAGACATGACTTATCCCACTTTATTTGACTGAAACTGTAGCATTAACTAGAAGTTATTGTATGTACTATCAATTAGTTCCAGATCAAATTAATGAGTTGAAGACAAAGCTATCAGTTTAAGGTTCCATCACACCAAGGGATTAAATAACAAAATCAAATGCAAGATCCAAAGCTTTTGATAGGCAGATACTCGTAGCAAATAGATTTGTCTAAACAATTATCACAACAAATCGTTTCCCCAGACGAGATTAGACAACTCAAGTATCCAAAAAGTGACTCAATTATTGTCTATTAATTATCAAAAAGGACTTACTTCGTGTAATTAATCATAAATCAAGAAGTTGTTATCTTGTCATTTTAAGTCCAAAGTTGACACTGACTTAGTAGTTAGTACTTGCTATGCTCTGACGAGAGAAACCTTACAAAATTTTTGGCAACTTTCAAAGTAGATCGCAATTTAGAGAGTATATCTTAGAAGATGATCCGAAAAAGAAGTGTGAGAAAGACAGTTTATCAAACTCGAATGGATGGTTGAATAGTGGTGCTGTAGAATAAATGTCTTTCCAAGTGGCCGACTTTCACAAGGAATAATTAAGAGGATTCAAGAAAATACCACAATTTCATACTTAGGATTTTTAATTTTTGAACCATTTGTCATTACCTCAAATGGATTGAGAGGTTTTTATATAATAAAAAAAACTCATTTTTTCTCTTTAAACAATACAAGTATATTTTACGATGAAGGGGATCCAATTAAATCCTTTATTCGTATCTAACTCCGCAGTACAAATTAAAGTATCTACTAGTACTTTGTTGAAATAAATGAGAAATAAATTTAAAAATAATAGTCCATTGCACTAAGTTCCCCTCGTGCACGTGCACTGTGATTGTGACACTGCGCATTAGACTCACTAGCGACTGCGACTGCACATACTGGCCATTGTCCTCGTACTGTATCTGTCGATGGGTCGCTAATTAACCATGGATATTTATTGAATGACTTGACAGTTGACACCGGTGAGTCTAACGTGGTCTTGTTATTGAATTGTTTTTACACACCAAAAAGAAAGAAAAAAAAAGAAAAGAAAAAGGGAAAGCTCAAATGGATACATCCCGTTGGTCTTCACATTTCTGGTCAGGAGATATATCCGTTGTATTTTTTTTTTCTTCCCTTTCTTTTCTTTCCTTTTATCAACTTGGAAGATCCTTCTTCTGAGTTGTATTTGTTATTTAAAAAGAAGTGATCGAACAAAATGATCATCTTTGGGGGAGGTGCATGCATTCCTTTTTTTTCCCCCTCCTTTTCTTTTCAATGGAAATGAAGCCCTATTCTTATTATTTAATACTCCAATCGTTTTAATTTATATGACATAGTTTGATTGGACAAGGAATTCAAGAAAAAAAAGAAGAAAAAAATATTAGAAACTTGAGGTGTTAAGCATGTCATAATTTTGAGCGGCAGCTATAAGATCGACTTTTGATTTAATATCCTACAACATATCTATCCATAACATCTGTATGACTGTAAAAGTTTATCATTATTAATTAAGTGCAAAATAAAATGTTTAAGTTTATTTTTAGATTTATAAAGATGATGCTCTTTTTAAAATAAACTAATAAGGAAATTAATAATAACATGGAAGAAAACTTTAGTTGGATTTAACCCTGACCCCAGCCAAGAATTTGCTTTCAACTCCTTTGGCCCCATGAAGTTCTACTTTACCTAGATTTGGCTTTGTTAGACAAGCCATGTAGGAGTGGGCAAAAGATGTTATATCTACTTTAGCATCAATGTGCCCACAACAACACTAACTTCAAAGATTAGATAATGCAATCAATAAGTGAGGAATGAGCAGCTTGTGCACACTGCCCCGGGCATCTCATCAAGTACGATTTTGTATTTGCTAATTTTCAAAAGAGGAAAAGTTATCACAACTCAACAAAGAAAAGAACAGCAAACTACTCAATTTCATTTGAAAAACTTCACTGTTCTAGAATTGGAAGTTCTAAACTAAAAGGAGTTTAATATGCATAGATTTTCTGGTGAATAATACGTAGCTAGGTACTAGTACCAAGCCCTATATGGCTAAGCCCTATATATCTTTTTGACTTTGGAAAACGAATGCTCCTAACTTTAATTCTTTTTTTCACTATAGCTTTAGTAGGCAGTCCAATTGGCTGGCATCTGAAAGCTAACATAGATATGAGTCTACAAATTTAACCAGTGATATAACTCGGTTTACGTATTCTATACTTAGTTTAGTCAAGAAATACAAATACTCAACCATTAGTTTACTCAAGCGTGAAAGCATTTAAGGAAACAATAATAGTGTAGGGGTAAAATTGATTAGTGACAGTTGGATGAATGACAAGATGACACGTGGAACTGAAGA